TTTTTCTGATGCCGTCTGTTACAGAAGAGTTCTATTGTTGGGGATACATTTGTTTCCCTAACCAGTGCTCTCTTGACTCACAATCAAGGTAGTCTCCAAACTTCTGCTGTCACATCCACCCGACTCGGAGATGTTGACATTTCCTACGTGCATCTATGGGAGGCAAATGGCTTGAGGGGCTGCAGGACCAGGTGGTGGGTGCATTTGGGGCTTTGGTGGGCCTGCCAAATTGCCCTCCCTAGATGATCTACCAGGCTGCCCTCCCAGAGGCAGTGTGCCAGCGTGCCTGTCTCTGCAGACAGCCAGCCTCAGTGTCTTAGTATCTCAGTACATCTTGGCTGAAGGGAGAGGCAAGAAAATGTTATCTTCCCAAGCTTTCGTTTGCCTGCCTCTTATCACGAGCCTGAGCATCTCTGCACGTATTCCACGACATCTGCGAGTCTCCTCTCTGAACTCTTCATATCCTCTGCCCATTTTCCTGTTGGTTTGTTCATCTTTTCCTTATTGATTGGTGGAAACACTTTCCTATCAGGAAAATTAGCTCTTTGCCCATGATAAGAGTGGCAGATATCTTCCCCCAGGTTGTCATTTGTCGCTTCTTTTTGTTTATGAGTCGTCTTCTACCTATGCAGAATTTTCTCATCATTGAAGGCATCAATCTGTCTCCCAACCGTCTGGAGCTCATGTAGTCCTTAGAAAGTACTTGGCGGGTGCTCTACTTTGCCAGGATAATATATTTTTAAATTTCTGTGATTTTTTTTCTAGTTCTTTTAGAATTTCATTTTCATGTTTAAAACATTGATCCCGCTAGCATTTATTTTGAGGTAAAAGTGTGAGGAAAAGATTCAACTTTATTTTTTTTCCCAAATGGTTTCCTGGCTGTTCCAAAACCATTTGTTGAATAATTGAACTTTTCCCCTACTGACATGAAATTCCACTTTCATCGTGTATTAAAAATCCCCATATCTATTCAGGTCTGTTTCTGACCTCCTGGATGGTACCATAGCTGGTATATTCATAAAGATCACACTATTTTAATTATTACAGCTTTACAATGCATTTCCATGTCAGGTGCTAGCCTCCCATCTTAACCATTCATTTACAAAATTATCTTGGTTATTCTTTTGTGGTGTAGTCTCTTATGTAAACTTTTTAATCACTTTGAGTAGTTAAAAAAATCTGTGTTGGTTTTCAAAATAAGGAGAAGTTTAAGAGAATGCTATCTTTCTATATTGATAGTTTTTGCCCACAGTTCTCCTATATCCACAGTTCTCTCCTTCCCACTGAGAGGGTAGGGTGGCTGTCATGGTCAGCCTTCTGTATCGGGGGAGAAAGACCTGACACACGATTTAAGGAGAAAAGGTTTACTTTGGCTTACGGTTCTGAGGCTTCTGCCTATGGTCAGCTGGCTTCGAGGCAGAAACATCAGGGTGGAAAGGCCTGGTAGAAGAAAACTGCTCACTTCATAGTGACCAGGAAGGAGAGAAAGAAGGGACAGCGCCAGAGAGAGAGAAAGGAAGGGGCTGGGGACAATGATGTACCCTTGCAGGTTATGCCCCCGTGACCTACTACTCCCTCCAACAGGCCCCTCCCAACACCATGTTTATCTGTGAAGTCACCGATGAACTAATCCACTGATGAGGTCGGTGCTCCCCATGATCCACTTACCTTGCAGAAACCATGAGCTCAAACCATGAGCCTCTTGGGGCCATTTTTACTCCAGACAATAACAGTGGCCAGCAGGGCTGGTGTGCACAGTTGCACATGTGTGTACTGAACCATCCTAGGACAAAGGCGGAGCGGAGATGCCAGCCCCAGCTAACAGAGTATGATCTCTCCTGAGCAATCTGCCCGGCTGCATTTGTGAATGATACAATAGTAGCTACCCCTTCTTTAGGAGGTGCCGGATTCTGTTCTGAGCCCTTCATTAATTTGTGTAGTCTTCAGAGCGGAGAGAGCCCGGCTTTACAGCTAAGGAAATGGGCGCAAAAGTTAAGTAACATTCCCACCACCTGTGATTTGTACCATCTTGTACATTTGCAACACAGATACCCACAGGTGACAGTCACAGATACACATGGACGTGTTGACACGCGTGTGCGCACACACTGTTATTCCCACACGACGTACTTTTGCCCTCATACATCGCACAACCCAATCCTTCATATAATCCCTGTATTCAGAGAGCAGGGGGCGTTGCAGGAGGGGGTGATCTCCCTTCAGGGGACTGGGGAGAGGAGCCTCAGTCACTTTTGTGCTGCCTTGGGAGGGGGAGGGAAGGGGGAGCACCCAGCCAGGGGCCTGGTACCCAGCAGGTGCCCAGGCGAGGTCTCCCTCCCCTCCCCTGCCTTCCCGGAGTCATTAACTCCAGCAGACTAGGAAGCAGCCCCTCCAAGAACAAGTCATTCTTCCCCTCAGCCCACCTCCCAGGCTGGGGATGAACGGGGAAGGATCAGGGAGCAAACTGCAGGTGAGCGGGTTCACAGAGATGAGGGTTCCAAACAGAGTATGTGTGAGTGTGCGCGCGCGTGTGAGTGTGTGTCTGTGGGTGTGAGTGTGTGCAAACACGCACACCCTCCCCCTCTGGCGGTTGTGGCTCTGAGTCAGCCTTACAGGGAAGGCAGGGATTTAATCTCTCAGGGGGCTGGGAATGTTATTGTTTTAAAACAAACGAGGGATGACAGCCTTGAACAGAGGGTTTTTAAGAACAGGATTCAAAGGGCTCTTGAAAGCTGCTGGGGAATATGAATGCGCCTTTGAAGTGAGAATGTGCCCATTTGTTACGCTGAGAGCAGAGCTGGCTGCCTTGAGGGCGGAGAGTCGGTCGCTTTCCTTGGCAAATGGGTCCTGCAGCCTCCAGAACCAGGCCAAGGGGGCACCAGGACCTAGAGTCGCAGAACCAGCGGGCGGGGTCACTCATCCAAATCCACGCTCTAAATGAGGTCCTTTCCAACTGTTTTTAAGGCCCGTCTTTTCACGCGACAGTTGTTCAGAGCAGTGGAGAGATGTGCGTGAGCAGTCAGTGAGAAATGTGCAGCTCAGCTGACATCAGCCACACGCAGTCGCTGAGGGGGGCGGGCAAGAGGCCTGGGCCTGCCCGTCCTCACTGAGCCACCCCTCAGGCCTGGAGTTGGCAAAAGGTGTGGGCTTTCGAGGAAGAGCCTCAAAGTGTCGCAAGTTATGCACGCATATGATTGAGCCCTTGGGGTGTGAGGTTTGGGGTGCTCTGGCCCAGGGCCAGTTGCCTGTGCCCCAAGAGCACAGTGGGATTTTTTTTGTAAATCCATGCTTGAGTCCAGATGAGACCTGGAAACAAAGGCTGAACGTGATCATGGATGTTAAGCCAAGGATGGAAGACAGGGTACAGGGCTCCTGGGCTCAGCCTAGGGACAAGAGAGCCCCACTTCTTCCACCCCAAGTCACCCCTGATGTCACATGCCCCTTCTTCCACTTCCTCTGATTCCCTTTCTTAGTCCAAAAGAAAAATGTCAGGTGGGTTTCCACCCTCTGGGCTTACGGGGATGTAACCATCATCAGAGCGTGGCTGGGGCATCGACCAGTGCGGAAGCTGGTGGGGGGAGTAGCTCTCTCAGCCACGGACACCCACGGGTTAGTCTCTGAGACAAAATGACTGTTTGCAGAACATTCACCCCCGGGCACACCCAGGGTCAGCATTTCAGTCCTTAATCTCATTCAGTCCATACTGCAGCTGTTTCTCCTCCCGCTCCACTGATGGAGAGATTGGGATTTGATAGAGCAAATGTTTTTCCCACCAGCACCAACACACACACACACACACACACACACCCACACACACACAAACCCCCCCCCACACATCAGCATTTCAGTCCTTAATCTCATTCAGTCCATACTGCAGCTGTTTCTCCTCCCGCTCCACTGATGGAGAGATTGGGATTTGATAGAGCAAATGTTTTTCCCACCAGCACCAACACACACACACACACACACACACACACACACACACACACACACCCTCAGGCTTCACCATGCCGTCTCTAAAATGTGAGTTATCATCCCTTGAGTCCGGGGTTGCCATGGGGATTAAATGGATATATGTTAGAGCCCCTAGATCCACCAGGACTCAGCCAGTGTTGCAGTCTTTGTTGACATCCTCACCCAATGCTGGCTCTTGACCCCCAGCCTTCCCCGGAGAAGGCAGTGTCTCAGCGTAGAGCTTGGACTTCTTCTTCTTCCTCCACCTCCTCCTCCTTCCTTTATCCCCCTCATCTACTTCCACCTCTGCCTTCTTTCCTCCCAGACAGCGGGGCAGAAGGTTCCTCTTCCATCTGACGCTGTTAGCCAGAGCAGTCCCTCGAAGTCCAGGACCCAGCGTGTGTTGTCCGTGTTGAGGGGCCCTGGGGTCTCACGATTGGCGGCCTGAGCCAGGTCAGAAGGTTCAGAGTACCGTGCAGAGAGGTGTAGCCACCACGTGGCCCCCTGGCTCCAGCTCGAGCAGCAGTGCTTCTCCCCGGGCAGCTGTCCTGGAGTGGATGGGGAGGTTGAGGCAGCCTAGCTAGGGCCCTCGATGGCAGAAGCAAGCAGCCCAGTGGTGGGAGGGCCACAGATCGGACTCTGCCCTCGATGCCTCTGAGGACTTCCCCAGCCTTGGGGAGCAGGACAAGGGCCCTCCACACATGCAGCTGTGTGAACCCACTGCTCTGTTCTGGTGACATTTATATTCCCTCCCGCTGAGGCGCAGTCGGCACCCTCCTGCTTCCGGCATCCTACCAGGGAGGGAGAAACCCACAAGCAGCTGGTATGGAATGGGCAGTGCTCATGAGGGAAGAGAGACAGAGGCCGCAGAGTGTGCAGTGGGGCAGAGACGGCGAGCCTGGTGTGTCTGTGGTTGAGGGAGGCAGGGGCCTGGGTGGCGGGTGAGAAGGACTCTGCTGAAGACCAAGCCATTTGGGTGCTAAATGGGCCAGTGCATGTAGCTGCACAGGTGCTAACTGGTGGCTTTGCATCCTTGTTTCCTATAGATGATGTGTCCCCATACTTCAAGACGGAGCCCGTGCGGACGCAGGTGCACCTGGAAGGGAACCGCCTGGTGCTCACATGCATGGCTGAGGGCAGTTGGCCGCTGGAGTTCAAGTGGCTCCAGAACAACCGGGAGCTGACCAAGTTCTCCCTGGAGTACAGGCAAGTTGACTCGCCTCCCTGTCCTGATGGGGACCATCAGGGTGTGTGCTTGGCCACAGGCTCCCGATCCAGTGCTCCTGGGCAGCAGGGGTAACATGGCCCGCCCTGCTAGTGCCAGCAGAGGGTGGCTGTCTGGTGGGCCAGGAGGCTCCCCATACCATGATGGACAGGGGTGGGGGCTCACTACCAGCAGCTATGGCTGTGGCCACACCTTTTCCCTCATTTACTCCTCCCTGCTATCTCCAGGGGGCTCTGTGAGAGGGGCTGGGTACCACAGAGGGGTGGGGCACACAGCAGCCTAGGGCTAAGTAGAGGAGGGGCCGCCTCCTGGAGGGAGGACTCAAGTGGGGCATGGAGAGGCCCACCCAGGGTTTATCACTCCTTATTTGTACACGGGCTCCTGAGCACTGGGTTTAATTAGTCCTTCCTTGCCCAGGGCATGGCCCAGTGGGGAGAAAGATGAGGCGTGGAAGCAGGGTCTTGGCAAGGGCAGGATTGCTGCCAGCAATGTGAGCCAAGCAGCTACTCCTCAGCCTTGCCTGGCCACCAGCCTCCTCCTGGCCCTGTGCTCACTCCCTCCTACTCTTATCCTCCCATCTCTGCCTTTTTTATTGGCTCCCAACCCTGTGTGTGGTGATTAATCCCCAGGCCTGATGTGCATAATCGGTTTTGTTGAGGAAACAAGATTGTCTTGCCCTGAGGATGTTGATACAAATCTGCCACTGAGGGACAAGGGACAGGAATGCAAATGAGAGGAAGGGTTTAATTGCTTGAGGACCTGCCCTTCCCAGACAACTATCCTTTCCTTTCGCAGGGAGGCCAGATTTTGAGGTGAGCAGAGCCCCCAGGTCCCTTCTGCCTTAACCCTAAGCTGGGTCAGCTCGTGTAGTGTGGTCTCATTGGCCAAGGAGGAACGGAAGAGGCCAGGGCAGGAGGAGGAGGAGCATCTTCCCGCCTGCATGGAGATACCTGGACTAGAAAACAACAGGTCCTCCATATTGGCTGCCCTGGACCTTAGTCTCCTGTGAGAAAACCAAAGAGGGGCCTCCCAGAGCAGGCCCTGGGAGAATCTTCACTTAAGCCTCCAGAGCTGCTCCTGACCACTGCCTGGCATCCCTATGTCCGATGACAGGCCCTGAAGAGCCCCTGCATCCTCTTGGGTGGGGGACATGCTTTAATGGGGCACCAAGAGCTGGCAGATGGCCTAACATGAGGATAAGTGGGGCTGGAGCCTCCCAGCCTGCCCTTGACTTGCGGCGGGAAGCTGGAGCAGGACCCAGGGGAAGAAGCATCTGCTCCATGTCTGGTTCACAGCTGACCACATGGTGCCCTGCCCTGCCAGAGCATGAGGGTAGGCCCTACACAGAAGTAGAATCCAGCTTAGTTCAAGGATTGGTCTTGCTCACCAAGAGGCCACGTTTGAAAACAGTGGAAGTGGTCAGGATCCAGCTGTTGAGAGTGGCAGTGATAATAATAATAATCATCACTATTAGTGAAAGAACCTGTAAGATCAGCATTATGATGTGTGCTTTCTGCTTAGGACATTGAGTCCTACCAACTACCCTGTGAAGGGGTGCAGTCTTTTCCCCATTTTACAAATGAGCAAATGAAACTTAAGTTCAAGAATTCACCCAGGTCAACTGTTGAGCTGACTCCAGAGCTGGATTGCTCCTCCATCCACCACTCTGCCTCTCATGGAGGAAAGAGTGCTGCCATCGCTCCTTTCCTGTGTATCCTGAGCAATCTTTCTGCTAACCGTGCTTTGCAGATTCTAGATAACAAAGCAGTGGGGAGCATGCAGATATTCCATTTTATAGCTGTGTTGGGTGGAAGTCATTCAAGGGAAGTAAGTGAACCTCCACTCAGGAAGCTCATCCTTTGCCTCCTCGCCACAGGAACGTTGGCCGCGATGCATGGTGGCCATCGCGTGCCCAAATGTGGGCTGGGCAGGATACTCCTCTAATCAAATACTTAGGGCTGAAGCCCTCAGTGTGGCCTCAGAACTCTTTGTTCTTGCTCCTGATGGCATCTTCTTACCTCCTGTCACTCCCATATGGGGTAGCACATGCCCAACAAGCACCCAATTTGACCCTTTTCAGAACTTTCTCTCCTGCAGGGCTCAGCCCAAATGCCTTCTTGAATCTCTCT